CTAAGGCGAGACGTCCTAACAACTGCAGTGCAGTTAGGACTAACCGTAGGTTGAGGTCTCATCATCAGTCTCCTTCACGTTGGTGCACTGAATTCGTTTATTGGGTTGTCGTGGCTGTTCATAATAATTGCACGCCCATTTGATGGCAGCCATTGCAGCCGTCAATTGGTAGTCATCTGAAAAATCATTAAAAAACGCTCCATCAGGGCAACACTCAACATGAGCAACTTAATGAAACTCAGTGGCGCAAGTTTAAGTGGAGATGAAAAGTGCTTTTGCACAAAGAATATAGGCATCTGAGTTCCAAGTGTAAATAATTCTAAGTGGCTGTAAAACATCAACTAAAGGATTCGGTAGTCCGCAGTTAAAGAACTGGGTGACATTCAGCTGAAACCGGAAGTCGGAAATGCGAAAATTGGTTAACATGGTCATGATAGAAAGGGGTAGAGCGTTGTTTGCAGATGACCTTATAAAGAGCGGACTTACAAGTCTGGAAAGAAGAGTGTATTTCACTGGATTATGCAGGGAAGGGCTGAATTTTGCTGCTGTTGTAGGAATAACCCAACTTTCGGTCTTGCGTTAATTCCGCCTTCTAGATTAAAGGGAGCCAGACGCCTAAAACCTCCATTTACGAACACCAAATGATAACACCTGTCATGTGTCATGCCTACAAATGGAGCCCTTTCAATGACAGTGCGGGACACAAGGCATACACAGACGGACTAGCCTTGAGTCGATTTCCTCGAGGACTCGTTAGTTTTCGAAATTCGAGAAATGCAGCTACATCCGTCAATTTCTACTGTAAATACTTTAGTGTAAGTGGAGGGTCTTCCTGGCCGAGGGGTGGGTCATTCCTACTCCTGATGGCAAACACGCCAGAACTGATAATTTTAATCTTTTTTTCTCTTTCGGTAATGTTTCTCGATTACTGACTACTTTTTACCTTCGATTTGGTCACCAAGGTGAACGTCACTCCCTCAGGATTTCGGTTTAACAACTGCTTACACATAGACCTACGAATTATGCTTAGGAAGGCCTATACATGGCTTATGGAAAGCCCATTAAAATCTGAATATCTTATTTGCATTCTACTATACATATAAATGCTTATTCGTGATGTTCTCCCGCAGTATGACATAATTTG